ATATCTATATATACACACATAAAATTTTTTCCCCTCCAACTACCCTAATACTGACAAAGGTCTCATGAGTTACAAATATCATCTTTCCATGCAGGAATGTAAACAGTTCAACCTTAATAAGTCTCTTATGATTTTCTCTTTCCTGTTTACCTCTTTATGTTCCACTCGAGTCTTGTATTTGAAAACCAGATTTTCTATTCAGCTCTGGTCTTTTCATCAAGAATGCTTGAAAGTCCTCTATTTCACTGAATAACCATTTTGTCCCCTGAAGGATTGTACTCAGTTTTGCTGGGTAGGTGATTCTTGGTTGTAATCCTATCTCCTTTGCTCTCCAGAGTATTATATTCCATGCCCTGCGGTCCCTTAATGTAGCAGCTAAATCTTGTGTTATCCTGATTGTGTTTCCACAATACTTGAATTGTTTCTTTCTGGCTGCTTGTAATATTTTCTCCTTGACCTGGGAACTCTGGAATTTGGCTACAATATTCCTAGGAGTTTTCCTTTGGGGATCTCTTTCAGGAGGAGATCAGTGGATTCTTTCCATTTCTATATTGCCCTCTGGTTCTAAAATATCAGGACAGTTTTCCTTGAGAATTTCTTGAAAGATGATGTCTAGGCTCTTTTTTTTGATCATGGCTTTCAGATAGTCTAATAATCTTTAAATTCTCTCTCCTGGATCTATTTTGCAGGTCAGTTGCTTTTCCAATGAGATATTTCACATTGTTTTCTAATTTTTCATTCTTTTGGATTTGTTTTACAGTGTCTTGATTTCTCATAAAGTCACTAGCTTCCAATTGCTCTATTCTAATTTTTAAGGAAGTATTTTCTTCAGTAATCTTTTGGACTTCCTTTTCCATTTGGCCAATTTTGCTTTTTATGGCATTCTTCTCCTCATTGGCTTTTTGGACCTCTTTTGCCATTTGGGTTAGGCTATTTTTTAAGGTATTATTTTCTTCAGTATTTTTTTGGGTCTCCTTTAGCAAGCTGTTGACTTGTTTTTCATGATTTTCTTATATCACTCTCAGTTTTTCCTCTACTTCTCTTACTTGCTTCTCAAAATCCCTTTTGAGCTCTTCCAAGGCCCGGGACTGATTCATATTTTTCTTGGAGGCTTTGGATGTAGGAGCTTTGGCTTTGTTGTCTTCTTCTGGTTGTATGTTTTGATCTTCTTTGTCACCAAAGTAAGATAATATAGTCTGACTCTTTTTGCGCTGCTTACTCATGATCCTGGACAATTACTTGAGTTTTAAACTCTTTGCTAAGGTAAAAGTCTGCTTCCAATGTGAAGAGTATACTGTCCCAAGCTTCGGGGGTTTGTACAGCTGTTTTCAGAGGTACTTCTAGGGACCTGTAAATTTTCAGTTCTTCCAAGGTGGTATGATAAGGGGCGAGGTGTTTTCTCTCCACCACCACAACAAGCTCCACCATGCCAGCGCTCCTCCTCGCCCCAGGACCACCCCTCAGAACTATGACCCAGATCCAAGTACTGGTAAAGCAAGAGATTCCTGACTCAGCACTGGCAAAGAGATCCTTGTAATCCCCCTCTGATCAACCACTTGATTCCCCCTCTGTCTGTGGGCAGGAAGCTCAGGAAAAGCTGCGGCGCCAGGCCACACTCAAGACTTGCAGCTGAGACCTAGCTCCTCTCTCACTGCAGTCACAGACTTTTCCCACTGACCTTCTAAGTTGTCTGGCGTTCCTGGGTTGAGAAATCTGGAAACTGCCACATCTGCCTGCCATTTCAGTCCTCTGAGACCTGCTCCAGGGTAGCTGTGGCTTGCGCGCCCACGCTGAACTGCGCTCCTCTCCCCACCTGGCACGATATACCTTTCCGATTAACCATCCAGGCTGTCTTGGGCTGGAAATTTGTTTCACTCTGTCTTTTTGTGGGTTCTGCTGCTTTAGAATTTGTTTAGAGCCATTTTTTTAGGTATTTGGAGGGCTTTGGGAGAGAGCTCAGGATAGTCACTGCTTTCCCTCTGCCATCTTGGCTCTGTCCCCTGGAGACATCCTTTTAAAGGGACCTAGGTGGCACTGTTGCTAGAGAGCTCAGACGCTTACTACTGCTGTGACCCTGGGCAAGTTGCTTAACCTTTGCTGGTCTCAGTATCCTCAACTGTAAAAATGGGATAGTAATAGGATCTGGTTATTGTGAGGATCAAATGAGATAAAATACTTCACATTATGCCTGACACATAGTAGGTCCTTAACACTTGTTTCTTTCTTTTCTCCTTCCCCTTTTGTTCTTCATAGTGCCCAGTTGAAGTAAAAGGCAGGGAATATGTCTCCACATTTTTGTGGCATCAACAACTAGGTGGACCTTTAACTGTTTATATTTCTCTGAGGCTAAATGGATTAAGAAGCTAGCATAGACCTAGGGATATAGTAAGAAATGTTTAAATGCTACTTATTTTGAATGAATCACGTGTTTGGATTCTGTGGATTGATTCCAGGGCAAGGAATTAATCAATTTGAGGCAAACAAATATATAATGAACTATTCATTATGATACATAAACATTTGTGCTGTGTCTCTCATTTTATGATTATTCTGGATTGTGATGATTTCTATGGTTACAAGTTTTTTAAAAAAAATTTATGTCTTTTTCTCTTGTGTTTTAAAAAAAGCCCTAGTGGGTTAAAAAAAACCCATAGTTATCATTTCCTAGTAACCATCTTCCTCAGACCGCTTCTTCCTTCCCCCATCATCATTAAAGTACAGTTAAGGAAAAGAAATCAACGCATCAACTGAGTCTGATCATGAGACTCATTCTACACCTGTAGTTTCTCCTCTGCTGCTCTACCAAGAAGAAGGATGTTTCATTTATCAGTCATCTGGAATCAAGACTAATGATCTTTTAAAGTGTTGTTTTCTTTTGTATTATTAACGGTCATTGTGTATATTGTTCTCCTTACTTTGCCATGTATCAGTTCATACAGGTTTTCCCAATTTATCTGAATTGTTCCTAATCATAATTTCTTACAGAATAATAGTATTCTATTGCATTAATGTGAGAGGAAGTGTGGTGAAGTAGGTAGAGAGCCAGGAAGACCTAGGTTCAGTTCTTTGCCCTTACACTTTGTTGTTGTTATTGTTTATCTTTTGTCCTTTGTCTGTCTGACTTCTGGGCTACTCACCATCTTAGTCTCTCTAGGCAATTCTAACTTGTAGAGAAGATGCTCGTCTATATTGTTGGAAGGAGTTTCCTGACCTCAGATTCCTTATTTTTACTGATGAAATTACAGGTCCAATCCCCAGCATATTCATGTACCAAAATTTTTTTAGCCTCTTTTTTTTTGCTACTATAATAAGTTATGCCTTTTCCCCCTATAAATGATTTCTTGGCGTATTTTCCTATATCTTTTATGACTAAATTTAACAAAGCATAACTGCAGGACAAATAGTCTAGAAATGTGGTATCCAATTGCATCTTCAACATAATTATTTGTAGAGACAAAAATGGATCTCTTATTAGTTATGTATGTGCTCCTTTAGCCAGAATATTAGCAGTACCTACTCTTAAATCCAAGTTCACTATCCTTCTTTTCCTCCATAGTTTCCAAAAACATTGCTCTTTTGAGACAAGAGAGTTACCCTGGTTTTATGGTTATGGTTAAACTGGTGGTTTTAAAAGTGGCCTTGTGGTATTAACTACAATAAGTAATTTGGATATGGACTTAAATTCTATTATGTGAGTATTGTGGCTGTGAAGCATTACAGTTATTCTTAGAATAGTTTGATCCTGTCATATTGAGTACTTCATATGTCTGCCAAGCATATCTGGGTCTTATAGTCCAGAATGTGTTGTGCACCTTGTGTTGGACTTCGACCCTTGGTTTATATCCCTGGGCTATTTGATGGGACTCCGGGGGGTTGCCATAAGGGTAAAACTAACCCAGTTCTGGTTAGGAAAAAGGGAGTGGGGCATTTTGAAGTCAGCTATTTCTAGGCTCAGGTTTCAAAGGCTGTTTGTTCTCTTTTATAACATGCCAGAAAAGTCTTTGGAAACCTTAAGTAAGGGTTGATTGGAGCGAAGGAAGTGACAAGGAGACTCACAGTTGGCTTGGCCTTGCTTCACCTCATTCTACCCCATTTTTTTTCATGTATCATTCATGCTCACATGCTCTGTTCACACTATATTAAATTGCACCTACTGGTACATTTCTAAGTATTTCATATTTCCATGTTTACACGTTATCTGGTTGGAGTTCTAAAGTTCTGGAGAGACTCAGGCTGAAAATTGGAAAATGAGATGATAGAGTTAGAACTAGAACACAGGTGTTCTTAACCTGGGGGCTGGAAACTTTTAAAAAAATATTTTGATTAACTATATTTTAATATAATTGGCTTACTTGGTAATTTCAAGTGTTTTATGTATTTAAAAACATTTTTTCTGACATTAGGTCCATAGGCTTTACCAGGCGGTAAAGGGATCCATGACAAAAAAGTTAACCTTTGAGTTAAAAGGAACCTTAGTGGTCATCTAGTATAAATCTCTCATTTTGCAGATGAGGAAACTGAGTTCCAGAGAAATTGAAATTAAGTGACTCCTCTGATTACAAATCAAGCACTCCTTTCCCACACCACACTGACTAGACTGGGGACCTTGGAATTAGTTTGGACTCAGGGTGAGGGCTGAGCATATTTGAGGATACATGCACCTAAATATTTGGGAAGCGCAGAGCATCAGACTGACTGACATTTCGTCCCTTTAAAAGCACCCGCCTATTATGACTGTGTAATTGTGCTATGTTATTTTCTAACTGTGATCCACCTATAATGTTTAATGTGCTTCCAGTCTGGTTTGACTTTTTTTTCCCCTAGGAAGAGGCTAAAATCTCTTCATTATAATATAGACAGTGCAGTGCATTTTGAATACAAATTTCTCCATGTTCAGAGTAATTTTTCTTGTGATTGTCTCTACCCTGGAGAAGTGCCTTTAATGAATTACATACAAATTGTGTAATTTAAGAAGTTAATTTGGTTTTCTGGTTACACAGGACTAAGAACAGCCCTTGTAGAAAGAGATGATTTCTCATCAGGGACCAGCAGCCGGAGCACTAAGCTGATCCATGGTGGGGTGAGATATCTTCAGAAGGCCATCTTGAACCTGGATTATGAGCAGGTAATTGTGTATGCTAGTTGTTAAACAAAAATTGCTACAATGCTGTTTTCCCCTCTCCAATTAAATCAGGCTTTTAAATGGCTTTTAATGTTTCCTCCTGTTGGAAATATCTGTTTAATGTGTTCTGCAGGAGTATTTTTCAGGAGAGACATGACAGTATTTTTTACTGTAGTGTTAGAGGCAGCATGATGTAGTGAATAGCGAGGCCTGGCCTTAGAATCAGGAAGACTTGGATTAGAGTCCTGCCTCTGACATATACTGGGTATGTGATGCTGGAAAAGTCATTTAACTTTTTATGTACTTAGGCAACCCTCTAAGACTGAGATGTGGAGTAGGTGCCACACCTGTATTGGGATGGTTTCCTCAGCAGGAGTTCCCAATACCAGTGAAACCATAGTCTGAGTACAAAAAACAAATATCTCCCCTTCCCCCCTAACTTATTTATGGGTAATCTCAGACCATCCAAGTGGCAGATTTGCTGAACTATTTTTGAATTTGGGGGCTTTGAGCAACCATGATTCAGCTCCCTACACCAGCCCCCTACCCCCCAAGGGTTTTTTTTGTATTCCATTGTTTTAATTCAGGGGCAGTCTCTGGCTCTTTTTTCTCCTACGGCTGTCACCATCTGGTCATATTATCAGTGGCAGATTCTTAAGGGGAAAGAAGATTTGAGGCGTATTTTCCACTCTATAATTCTGCCTTGTGTCCAGTCTTCCCAGGCTGGAGGAGGCAGTGGCATTTTTTAGAAAATAAAAATTCACCAGAATTTTCCATCTCTGTTTTGCCTGTGGAAGACTCTAATAACAACTTGACTTCGGTAGTTCTGCACCTGCCATTTCCATGCCCCTCTTTGAAAGGCATCCCTGTTCTGCAGTGGTGGGGGTGGTTTGTGTAAGGGAAAAAATCTAAGGGTACCTACCATTGAGTAATCTATCATCCCTTGCAGGGACAAATGTTTTATGGAGCTGGGGCAACAATAGAGGGAATACAAGATAAATGGTTTGTATAATCATGTAGCTCAAGTCAGGGAAATATCTTACATCTGGGAACCCCAATGGCATGTTTTCCCCCTATGCAAATACAGTGAAGGTTTCTAAAAATCCTTGAAGTTGACAGCATGATGTATTATTGGAAATATGATTAAGATATTTCCTGGCTCAGAGGTAGAGAGGGTTGTGTGTATCAATCAGTTGGCAGGACACTTTTTCCCCCTTTGGAAAACACCATAATCTGTTACTGCCAAGCTAATTTTCCATATTTTGCTTTTTAGTACAGGATGGTGAAAGAAGCACTTCATGAGCGTGCCAACCTGCTCGAGATTGCTCCCCATTTATCTCATGCACTACCTATAATGCTTCCGATTTACAAGTAAGCTTGTTGAGATCCCCTGTGCTCTATCTGCTCAGCTGGAGTTAGCATGACATTGTCTTAGCAGGAATATTCTTACAGTGGGCTTTCCTTAATGCTTATAATTGGTGCTTATCTCTCTTTTAAAAATATTTTCTCTTGCCCTGTTTTAAAAGCATGATTTTCCTCCAATGATTCTCTTTTGACACAATTTAGTTTTAAGGGTCTGATTTTTGAAGGTGACAATCACTCTCTGCATTTACAATTGGGAGCTTCTTACTCTAGTTTCCTTAGGCATACTGATGAGCTAAATTTGCATGTGGGAAAACCAAAGGTATGAAAAGTGAAGCCAAGAAACTCCACTTTTGAAAAATTTGACCAGAGATGCCTTGGAAAGTTCACATTGGCAAAAAGATTTTGAGTGACTTTGGTTATAAGCATTCTTTTTATGCTGCAACTTGAATTTGTAGGTATCTGCCAATATTTACATTGACACATTTTTATATCTAAATAGACATTAATTGCATTGATTTTGTTTCTAATGGGAGAATAACTTAATCTGATCATTCACAAAGCATCCTTACATTTCTTGGGAGGGATGATACACCCATGGAGTCCAGGTTATCAGAGATCTCATATTGTAGCCATTTTCATTTCTTTTAAAGGAAAATGGACCTTGTTTCTACCTTGTAGGGACCAAAGAAGTTACTATGTAGAGCTCTTCTAGCATAAAAGGATAAGCTTTGGTCTTAATGTTCCTATAAAGTAATTTATACATTTTTTTCATGCAATAAGCCCATTGTTTTCATTAGATGCATTTGGTATTTATTTTATTGTACTGATAAAAGTATATTAATGTTCAGCATATACCAAGTAAGCTTTGTGCTTATTTAATCAAAACTGGCCTTTCTTCAAATGACATACTGAGACTAAATGCATTTTGAGGCATCTTTTTAAACAGAGAACCTAGAATATGATAAATGAACCAAATTTCAAATTTAAAATGATTGTTAATGCACAAACACAAATTTTAACAGCCTAGAGACACTGATGAGACCTTCTTGGGCTAGAGATATCAATTATCTGAAAAAGCAGGTTGTGCATTACTCAATGATTGTCATCGGGCATGAACCCAAATTCTACAATTCTTTGCCCTGCTTTTGTCACTAATTTTGCCTTGATTACCTGAGAGCACTCATTTAAATTTTCACCCACCAATTTCACTAATGTAATTCCCCTAGATTACTATCAAATATATTTATTAAATGCTCGCATTTAATACCTTTTGCATTATGTTACTACACTTGTGCTTTATTGTACTTAAATAAGAGTTGTAATGGTCAAGTGTCATCTTTTTACTGTGATATTTAGTTTTCCTAAACATCATCTCCTTTCCTCACCTGTATTTTCTTCTATAGGTGGTGGCAGTTGCCTTACTACTGGGTAGGAATAAAGCTCTATGACCTGGTTGCAGGAGCTCAGTGCCTGAAAAGCAGTTATGTTCTTAGTAAGTCAAGAGCACTTGAACATTTTCCAATGCTGCAGAAGGACAAGCTAGTTGGAGCTATTGTCTATTACGATGGTATGTTTTTCTTATTGTAAAAAAGCAATTATACTCCTCTTCAGTTTCATGTCTTTTATTGTATGTTTTAATGACTTCCATTAATTGAACATGTATAATTAGAAGAATAAGATTCACTTGTTCAATAACTTCTTAGAGTTTTGTGAAATGATTATTTAAGTTATGCAGGTTAACCATGGGACGACTTCCCTTTGGGCAAGCAGAAGAAAAAAAATGGTTATGCATTTTCACAATAATGGCCAGCAGATTGTGGGTTCCTTTCTATTTGGGGGAGTATCCCATATGATCTAACTGAAACTAGTCAGTGATACTGGATATTCCTCAAATGGCCGTAATTAATATATGAAATTCTATTACCACAGATTTCTAATAGTAGATTACTGTCTAGTTGATTCATTTGGAGATCTCTGATCTCTCTACAGAAAACTAAAACTCTAGAGTGATCCTAATACAAATTGCCTCATGTTTTAAATGAGCCTGGCATAGTTTTAATCAACTCTGTTCTTTAATGGGCTAATCTTTCTATATTATAGTAGTTATAAACCATGATTATTAGTCAAAACTTGGTTTGTATGTGAAAAGTAACATTTATATACTTTGCTGCACATAGACATTTTCCCCAATCTCCTCTTGCCATTTTTTTCTTTTGCCCAAAGTTGTTAAGCCATATATATTGTGAGAATATTTCAATGGCTTTTTGATTCCTTGAGGCTTTGTGCTTTATTTAAAAACAACAAAAATTCTCTCTAGGTCTAGATGAAGGGCTCCCCATAGTGTTTATGCTTTTAAAATTATTTATTTTGTATCTTCCCTTTCTTCCTGGATTTTAACTTCATATCTCATGGTTGGTTTGGTCCATTTTCCATCATCATCTTTTCATGGATTTGGACCCCACCCTATGCCATTTAATTTGCTGTGTCTTTGACAGAGAAGACTTGCCTTATGAATATATTATAATGTTGCAAGCAGCCATAGATCTGTTAGGTTTCTAGATGAAACCTCTATTTTCAAGGGGTTATAAACTCAGAGAAAAATGCCCTCTGGGCTGAAACTAGACATATATGTACTTTGCCCAGGACACAATTTTTGCGCATAATATTTAAACAATGAAGGTAGATAGATGTTTGAGTCTGTGAAAGTAAAGCAGTTTTTTTATTGTTTGTTTTATTTGCTTTTTGAAAAAGTACTCTTTTATTAAGTGAAATTTTATATTTTTATGTCTCCATTGTTGACTATTTATATACTTTACTTGAAGGGAACCTATTTAAAATAGGATCCTTAGTGTATTTCTGGATGGCAAGCACAGTGATTTCTGAATGATGCATAAAATGTTTGGAGGAGGGTTGTGGTATGGAATAGCCTAGAGGAATTTTCAGTTGCATGGATGTAACTGCATATACACAATGACAAATGATTTTTTAAAATCACAGAATTCTGTGGCAGGAAGAACATCTTAGATTGTTTGCTCAATATTCAACGAATATTCCCGTGGTGCAGTTTCTCGTATTTAGTAGGGCATATCCAATCTTACCTTGAGGGAAAGTTTAATTCCAGCTTAATCCACTATGATTTTTAAGGGGTCCTAATGTTTTGAGACCTCACTATGCTGTGGAATGTGTTTAAGTCTCCTTCCTTTCTGCTTCTTCCCTGTGTTACATTCCCGAATTGATTTAAATACTTTCATTTGTCTGTCAAGCTTTCAGATAGGAAGAGAGAGAGAGGAGAGACAGTATGTGTGAGTGAGTGAGTGTGTGTGTGTGAGTGAGTGAGTGTGTGTGTGTGTGTGTGTGTGTATGTGGGTGGGTGGGTGTGTGAGGGGCAGTAGGGACCAAACTCAAAAAAAAATGCCCCCAGCAGAAACAGCATTAAAAAAATCTTAAGTATCTTATACAAACATTAAAAGCTAGAAAATTCACAGTTTGAGTTGTCTTCCAACATCTAAACGCCACAGGGTGTCCACTTAACTACTTTCTTGGTGCCCCCCTGTTGTGCCTACATGTTAAAGGACAACCTTAACTGTGAATTTCCTCTTTCTGCGTCAGACCCTTAATGTTAATTCATTGTAGTTTTTATTGGGTGATTATATAAAATCGGTGCCTTGGTTTGCAAGGAATAAGAAGGCATTCTGTAAAGAGCATCCAGCTCTCCTAGCTGGCATGGAAGCATTTCCTGTTTTTACCCCTTTTGGATTATCTTTAACCCCTTTCCCACATTCCCATTTTAGATGCTTATTCACTATTTCCATCACACCCAAGGTATTCCTTTTAATGTAATCTTAATTTAAAAAAATTATTTAGAACAGATTTGAATCTTTACAGCGGGGTTTCTTTTAATTTTTTTTCATGTCATGGAACCCTTTGGGTAGTCTGGAACCTTTCTCAGACTGTTTGTTGGTATGTTAATAATTTAAAAGAAACGTTAAATTTCAAGGAGATGTTAGTGAAAATAAAGATTTAATTTTTTCCTCCACCCAAGAATCCCTGTAATCTGTCCATGGTCTTCTGGACCCTAGATTAAGAACATCTGCTTCAGATGACTATTTGAGAGAATGGCAGTGCACCTGGTTTTTATGATATCTTTTGTGGTGGTGATGGAGTTTCATAGACTGTTGCTTCTTTTGTACCTTCTTACCTTTAGGATAAAATATGAACTTTTCTGTTTAGCCTTTGAAGCCCTCCACCGTCTGACTCTAGCTTACTCTTGTCTTACTGAATGCTATTTTCCCTCATTTACTTTGTGTTCTGGATGAACCGTTTTGGCTGCCCTCTGCATAACATTCTGCATTTTGTCTCCTTGACTTTGCACAGGCTCTCCCCGCATTCCTGAAATGTTCTCCCACCTCACCCCCAGCTCATAGAATCCATAACTTCATGTCATCTCAAGTGCAACCTCCTTCAGGAAGTCTATCCTGATTGCTAATACTATATGCATACATATGTACATAACATATGTATATATATATATATATATATATATATATATAAAATCTTTGTGTGTATGTGTGTAATTTTTATTAATCTTTTGTTTTTAGATCACCCACATTTCCCAGTGTATCACTTCTACCTCTTCTGCTTGGACAACCATCCCTTTTAAATTTTAAAAAAGAAATAAAGAGTTTAGCAAAATATAAAAACAAAATTGTGTTGAGTATTTCACACCTATAGCTCTTCCCTCTGCAAACTCTTTAAAGAAGCCATGTAAGATGCCTTCTCATACCTCTGTTCAAACTTTATTTGTATTTTGTATTTAGTTTTTTTGTATAAACTTTTTATCCTTTCACCATCTCCACGTGGAAAAGAATAGAAATTTCTTAAGGGCATAAACTATTTTACCTCTATCTTGGCATCCCAGTATGGTGTCTGGTATGGGGTAGACAATAAATGTTTATTGTTGAATCAAATTGGTGATTTGGGCTAGACTCTAAATGGAGAGACCTGAGCTACTTGTTTCAAAAATGCGGGGAAAATGATGCTGTTGGAGTAGAGTGGTTTTCAGATTTGTTCTTTACTTTGTGTTATGTCATAAACTTTGAGTTTAGCAGCAGTATATGTATTCTCAATTCTTAGATCTACTGACTTAAAAGTTAGCTTACTCATGAATTGAAAGAAATGTTCTCTCAACTTTTATTTTCTTTTTCTAAAATAACATAGACACAGCATAGCCTGAAAACAAAACATGAATATGGACACTATGTGGAATAGTGCAAAGGGCTTCTGGGTTTGAATCCTGACTATTATTCTCCAAGTGAGGCTGGGCAAGTTATTTTAAATTCTCTGGGCCCGAAGTTTATTCATCTGTAAAATGAGGGGTTTAGATTGCATAATCCCCAAGGTTGATTCTAACTCTAAGTCTTGAATTCTGTGAAATACTACAGTCCTTTATTCTTATGAATAAGGCCACATTTACATATATGGTCATTTTGGCCTACTGGTGTCTATAAAAGATAAAATAACAAAATTGAAAATAAATATTCTTTTAGCATCACATAATAACATCATTTTACCTCAGCTTACTAAATACATATATGTCTGACCATTTATATTCAAGTTAATCTATGTTCTAAATGTGCTGGGACAGATAGTTTGTTAAAGGAATCCTTTAGTGGGTAGGGTAAATGAGATATAGGCAGTTAAGTGGTGCAATGGATAAAGTGCCAGGCCTGGAGTCAGGAAGACTCCAATGCCTCAGACACTAGCTGTGTGACTCTGGGCAAGTCACTTAACTCTGTTTGCCTCAGTTTCTTCAAGTGGAAAATGTGTTTAATAATAATCCTGAACTTCTGAGGTTGTTGTGAGGATAAAATGAGATCATATTTTGTTATTAGGCAATTTTCAAACCTTAAAATACTATATAAATGCTAGCTAGTATTATTGTTATTATTAGGGGATAATGTAAATGATCGCTTGATTCATGTTTTGTAAATAAGTCTTTTATATATTCAGGTGTACCTTTGCATAGTAGGTGTTCAAAATATAGTTGATCAGTCGAGTCTTCTTTACCTTCAAGTTCCCTACTTTTTGGTCAGGCCTTACCTTTAGGTGGTTGTAAAGGGGAAATAACTAGATAAAAGTCTAAGCTGGTTGAGTCTAAACTGGCCAACGATTTGGCAGAAGAGCTCCCTAGCTAGCCTTAGACCTACAGTCTCACTCCTCTTCTGACTGTCCTTTACACAGCTGCCAAAACAATCTTGCTAATGAGCAGGACTGAGCACTCATGTTCCTGTTGTATTTTGCCCAGATCTCTCCTTTGTGCTTATCTTCTTACCTCCTTCACTTTGACTGTGGTTACTTTTTCTATGGCTTTCCTCCCACCCCCCACCACTGGCTTGTACTTTTCCTTGAAGGCAAGGTCTTTATTGCCTATTGATCTTCTTATGTAAATGCCTTACCTAGCAGATAAACTATATGAATTTCACTTTACCCTCCAAAAGTTTTTTGTGCCAGCCTATAGGGTAAAATACGAAGCTCAGCCTGACATTTAAAGTCTCTGAGTGATGTTGT